AGAGAGTCAGCCAGGGAAGAAGGAATGGGTATGGTTATGAACAAGCTGAGTTTGAGTGTCTGATGGAGTTGTCTGCTGGTTAATTAGCTGTGTTGCATCAACTAGAACTTAGGAGAGAGACCTGGGTTAAAGATGAAGATTTGGGAGTCACCGGAAGACAGACGGAGGATAAAGCTGCAGGGGAGCGGATGAGATCACCTCAGGAAAAGTATATAGTGTGAAAAACAAACTGGGAAAGACATCACCAATTCATGTGAAGTGAACGCTTGAGGGACCGGCAGAGGAAAGAGGTCTGGAGGTGAAAGACTAGGAAAAAGTAGCCTCCTCCAGGACAGGCATTTTATTTTGTTTCCTTGGGGCCTGTCACATAGTAGGTCTTTGTTAAATTTTGAACACAGCAGGAATCCAGTAAAGGTTTGCCCCAAACACTGCCATGTCATAATCATAGTCCATCACGGAGACTTTAAATGTTTCTTTTTCTCTCGGCTAAACGTCTCCCCTTGTTTTCTGACTTCAAGGAAGGTTCTGCCATTTCCCTCTTGTAACCCTGGTGGGTGGTGCAAGAGCTTTGCCCTGCACATCCTCATTTTTAGAGTCCAACAAGCTCAAGGCAACTACAAGTTTCCTGACAGGTAGAGTTCACCAGAATCACTTACAATTCTTTGCAGATGACAGAAAAGTATTCTTTGAAGCACTGACCTGTTATCAACTTCTGTCACTGTTGATAAGGTAAAAATGTGTGCAAATGCCTTCCATGCATACCATGAGCACCTACACACTGCTTGGTAATTCACCCTCCTAAAGCTCCTCTCAGCCTGCAGGGGAACCATGTTAAAACAGCGCAATTAACTAGAACTGCTAAAAACTCAATAACTCACCTACCTAATTAAGCAATACAAGGAAAATTGGACCTATTTTAATAAGAATTTTAAAAGGAGACAAGAAGTAAAGGTCAAATGCCATTTCTGGATCCCAGCTCTTTTCTTCTCTCCTCTTCAGAAGCAGTTAATACCAAGGAGGCAATATATCCTTGTGCTATTCTTTATAAAACCAAGGAGGCAGCCAATCACACTATTGCACCCAAGGGCAAATTATTTCTTTCCAGCCCATCCTCCAAGCCAAGTGCCTCCCTCGATCTATTTCTGAAGGTTTTATTATGCAAACCTGAACGGATTTCAATTACAATTATTCTTTTCCTTCTCCACCCCAACTCACAAAAGACAAACGGAATTACCAGCAGTTCTAGGTTATAAGGGCAGTTTTTGCTTCTTCCCTTGTCTCCAGAGTCACTTAATCTAGAATTTTTCCCATCTCAATCCCTTTTATTGGTTTTGGGAACACAGCTGTTTTTACCCCTATCCCACTCTTGAGCACGCCATGACTCCGGACATTCCCAGCAAGAATGATTTTGCTCATTCTTTCGCAGCTATCAAGGAGCAATTAGACTGCAGGCAAGTAAAACCTATACTCTCCCCACTCCAGCCAAGATATGGGCAATCTCTCTGCCTGGCCTTCCCTGGGAACTGTTAGAAGGATGGTGCGACTAAAACCAGGGTGGGCAGAACTGAAGACAGGTTTGGTAGAGAAAAGAACTAATACTTCTTAACATGCCGATTCTAGTCTCACAACCGCTCTGTGAGGCAGGTTCTGGCCTCATTATCTTACAGATGGGGCAACTAAGGCTCAGAGAGTTTAGGAATTTGCCCAAGATCACACAGTTGATAAGCAGCAGATCCATCTGTACCATACCAGGCTATACTGCTACCGTAGGAGTCTGGGGAAAGTCCTGAGTTGTGATGGGCTGAGACTATGCCAGAGTGAACTTCAAGAGGCTAATCTGGATGTATTCCATGCCCCTGAAGCTTGGCAAGAAAGGGGAAAGAGCAGGGCATAATTATTAGGGCATAATAATTAGGAGGTGAATTACCAAAAGAATCTTCTTATAGGGTGGTCTCACATATAGGGAAGTTCAGGGATCTTAAGGGCAAGATTCTAAAGGGGGTCTCCTGCTATTATCTCCAAATCAATGTGGCAAAGTAAAACTCATGGCTAGCAACCCACTTGCTGTTGCTTCCAAACAACCTGGGTGAGAGACCACTCCAGGTATATTACTGACAACCATCAATCTAAAGTGTGAAGTACTGACTTCAACCTTGCAGGGCTCGGGGAGAGCCCCAAACCCATGTTTGTCCTCATTGCAGCCAATAAACATTTACCACGCGCATCTACCACGTGGTAAGCACAGTGCTAGGTGCTGGAACCCAAAGGTGACAGGCCATTAGTTCCTGCTCTTAGTGAACTCATTATAGTAGGAGAGGCAGACATCGAACAGCTAATCGCCCAAATAGCCATTTAATTACCATAATCTTACAGGCTATAAAGGCAAAGTCCTGGGACCAAGAGTTCTATAATAGGAGGCTCTAGCCTAGTCTGGGGGCTCACAATATTCTTCCCTGAGAAAATGACATCAAAATCTAGGACCTGAAGGATGAGTAGGAGGTAGCCTACTCTAGGTCAGAGAAAAGTGTTGCAGGTAGAGGAAAGAACACAGTGAAAGCTGAGGCAGGAATGAGCTGGGCAGGTATGTACACAGTCCTGGTGGTCTGAGGCTACGGTGCTCTAGCTTAGCATACGGACTGGGTCCATTCAGGTCAGAAGGTCCAGCACATGGAGAGCAAAAGAGAATACAAAGCTTACCCAGAGGACAAGATAGGACAAAGAAATCTTGTACAATGTGCCCTTGCCCTGTTCCGTCTAATTCTTATCCTGCCATTCATGGCCAGAAGGCCAGCTTGCCAGGAGCAACAATAGCCAGCAGGGTTGGGAGGAGGTCCAGGGCTGTGTTTTCCCCACGGACTTCATCTCTGCTCTCTGGATACTGGTGTATTCAGGATGCAGACCTCATGCTCACCAGCTATTACAGTCCAAACATGCCTTCTAGGAATTGTCTTACCAAGCCATTGCCTTCACTAATATAATGGTATCAAATTCCTAATGCGGGTAGTCCAAAGCAAATGTACTATTACTAGCATGCCATCGGGCACATTTTTCAAAAGGAAAACAGCTGCTTGCTGAATCTGTCACTTCTTCTTCTCAGTACCATGCACACAAGGCAAGAGCCTGCTAAGGGCTACTGTCCTTTACGTTTTCTTCAAGTATGCTCAAGATGCAAAATCAAGTCTCTCAATAGAACCTAGCAGCTCAGCTACAGCACAGTCCTTAAGGAGCTTCCGGGATTATAGGACATAGCTTTGACAACTAGGGCTTGTGCCTCAGAACCTTGAAGGCTAGATACCAGAGCTTCTAGTTCACTAGCCTAGTTTCCTCATTTTATAGGCTGGGAAGGAAAATGCAATCCAGAGAAGTTAAGCAAAGGGCCTAAAGTCACACAGCTAGTAGTTGTAGAACCACAGCTTGGCTCCTTTCTCAGCTGATATCCTCCTCTAAAAGAACAAGGATACCCTCATCTACTTCCTAGGTTGTGATGCCTAAAGATGGCACATAATGCAGTATTGCAGGGAATAGGGCTGGCTTTCAGTGAATGGTGACTGTCTCCAAAATTTTATCTCCTAGATCTCCAAGACCATTCCCTTCCTTTTCCTACGGCGCAATTTCGCTGAATTTCCACCGGGGGAGGAAAAAAACCCAGCAGAGGGGTTAACATGTTTACAGCTGGTGTTTGGTCAATATCTGATTTGAGTTGGACTGAACTCTCTACTGGTGGTGCAGCAGTTAAGAGATTGGCTGCTAACCAAAAGGTCGGCAGTTTGAATCCACCAGCTGTTCCTTTGAAACCCTATGGGGCAGTTCTACTCTGTCTTTATGGCCGCTGTGAGTAGGAATTGACTTGATGGCAATGGAGTTGGTTTGGCTTGAACTCTCTACTTGTTCTCAGATCTCTAGTCCACAGTCCCTCATAATGCCAGTTCCTCACCTGGCCCTGCCAGACTTTCTGCTGCCTCTGGACAGTAGATCTGATTAGAGAAAATATCACAGGAGGTGACTACTGAAGACAGGTCACACCACCTTCTCTTTAGCCAATCCTGAACTAGCCACTCAAAAGTGGAAGAAACGAAGTAAGCCAAGTCAATTTGAGAAGAGACAGACAGGAGTCCTCAAACTGTTACCTAGGAAGGTGAGGAGTGCAGCAGATCCCTGTGCTGATTCTACCAACCACTGACAGAACAAACCAAAACAAACAACCCCACCCAAACCACAATGCAAAGATCACTTATGACAAGACAACCAAATTAGTCAGCATGTCCGTTCAGGGTCTCCCCTCTCTACCCCTCCCCACACTTCAAAATAACCACCCAACCATGTAAATTCCTGGTGCAAGTGTCTGTGAGCCTCCAGCAGAACTGTCAATGCTCATAAATTTATTCTGGTCTTCCTGACTGCACTGCAGCCATTTATTGGGGGGTGGGACACAGCAGGCCACTAGACAACAGCAGGAAGAGACTGGCCTAGCAGTAACTACTCTGGTTACAGCGTTGTAATCCATGGCAGCATTTTGCTGGGAGTGTGCACCATCAGGGAGGAGAAACATAAAAAGGGGAACCTGGGCTGTAAATAGTTTATTTTAGCAATTCCTGATGTTGGCTGAATCATACTTTAATACAGAAATACATGAAAGCACCACTCCGGAGGTGACAGATGTTGCCACCTCATTACTCTTTTCAAAAGGGTCTTCCATCAGAGAGACACATCGCTACAAATTACAGTGAAGAAAACAAAATCCTCACACATAGACTTATTAACAGGCCAGAAGGAAATGGAACCACCAAGATTCAAGCAAGCAGAAAACTAGCAAAACAATGGTCACTGGTGCCCTGGGGTCTACGGGCTACTTTTCCACGCGTGGAAAATCAGAAGATAGAAAAGCACTCTCCTTCTCAAGAGTCCACTCCTCAAATGCACATCAGATTTTTTCCAAATAGCTCTCATTTCCCCCATCCTCCTAATGTACCTAAATTCGGCAACTCCTCTAGTAATCTTACCTTCATGTTCCTTCTCAGTGGTCCCCACTTTCTTGATCTTCCTGGGAGATTTCATAAAGAGAGGAAAGATGGTTCGTAAGCCAAGAATGTCAACAAATTTATGGCAATTGTCCGTGCCCTCAGGTCCAATCATGGCATGGTCCAGCACTTTCAGGGCACTGCTCCTGGAGATCTTCTTTTCTCTGTGAACAAGAGATTTCATAGAAGGCATTTCATAGGGGAAAAGTAAAATTACATCTGAAATTATGAGGCAGGCATACTAAAGGGAGGCTTACCCTACCAAATACTTCTTAACCTATTACATAACAGCCAGAAAAGAGAATTAAAATAAATAAATAAATAAAAACCAATGCTACAAAGACACTGTGAAAGTCACTCCTTCTGGTGGGATACAGAACTCAAATTCTAGTAAAAAGATCAGACTTAATGGTCTGACTGAGACTGGAGGAACCACAGAAAGCATAGCCACCAGACTCTCTGTCAACCGAGAACTAAAACAATTCCTGAGGCCAACTCTTCAGACAAAGATTGGACCGGACTATGGGACCTAAAATGATACTCGTGAAGAGTGTACTTCTTAGCACAAGTACATACATAAGACTAAATGGGCAGCTTCTGTCTGGAGGTGAGATGAGAAGGCAGAGAGGGTCAGGAGCTGGTTGAATGGACAAGGGAAATCCAGGGTGGAAAGGAGGAGTGTGCTGTCACAGTACAGGGAGAGCAATTAGGGTCACATAACAATGTATGTATAAATTTTTGTATGAGAAACTAACTTGAATTGTAAACTTTCACTTAAACTACAACAATTAAAAAGAAAAGTCACTCCTTCTGTACTGCTGGGATGTAAATTAATTTAAACTGTCTTAAATTCAAACATTTGTATCAGGAGCTTTAAAAATATTCATGCCATTTGACCCAATGATTCTACCCTTGGGAGTTCTAGTCTTAAAAAAAAAAGGATTCACTGCAGCACTCATTACAATGAAAAGAAAGAAAGAAAAACGACTTAAATATCCAACAATGGGGAAATAGTTACATTATGCTCTATCTACATGGAATATTATACACTCGTTAACAATTAGGAGAGTCTGTAATTGAATGAACAAATTTTTATGGTCAGAATAAGCACAAAAGGCAATATTCAAAATTCCATATGAAGTACTATCTCAATTATGTGAAAAATACGCACTGAAAAGACTGGAAATAGATAAAAATGCAAATATCTTATTTCAAGGGTTTGGGATTCTGGATTTATTATTCCCTTTCTTTTTTAAAAAAAGAACAGTTTTACTGAGATATAGTTCACATACCCTATAATTCACCCATTTAAAGTACACAAATCAATGCGTTTTAGTATATTCACAGATAACCTTATACCCTTTAGCTATCACTCTCCTATCCCCCACACCCCTAGCCTTAAACAACCACTAATCTGATACAGATCTGATGGAGAATATGTATGATTTAACCATATTTTTAGGATGTCAAGAAGCCACTGGTGATGAAGAAACTAAAGATAAAATTAATAGGTGAAGCAAGGTGATTGGTCAGGCAAGGGGAGCCAAGCCTGGTCAAAAAGGCAGTGGTAACATAAACCAAAGCCCTTTATCCAATTTCTCACCTGAAAGTCAAGAAAAAAGAAACAGAAATAATATCTCTTTTGGATAATCTTTTGTAGAGACAACATTATTAAGGAATTATAATACTAGAGTGCTAATGATGACAAAGAATGCTATCCTGGGTCAGGCAAGCCAGCCGTGATTGGTCCCAATGAGTGGCAAAAAGGAGAATAGGTAAGAAGCTTACTGACAGTACCCTTTGGTGCTAGCGTGACCGACCACCCTGGTTTACCCGGGACTGTCCCACTTTCAGCACCGGAAGTCCCATATCTCAAAAAACTCCTCAGTCCCAGGCAAAACAAGATAGTTGGACACGCTACTTTTGTACCAACCTCGAGAGATCAAGTGGACTGTGAATATTTCTACCTTTACTCCCCCTGCCATGAATCAAACAAAATAACCCATACAGCAAAACAAACAAACAAACAACCCAAACTTGTTGCCACTGAAGTCGATTCTAACTCATAGCGATCCTACAGGGCAGAGTAAAACTACCCTATAGAGTTTCCAAGGCTGTAATCATCTTTACAGAAGCACACGGCCACATCTTTCTCTTTCGTGTGGCTGGTGGGTTCAAACTGCCGGCCTTTTGGTTAGCAGCCGAGCACTTAACCACTAAGCCACCAGGGTTGGTTCCTAAAGAACCCATAGATACTCACAAATTCACAAATGATATTTAATCTAACTACTGAGTTTAAAAAAAAAAAAAAAGCCACTGAGCACATGCCTTCATGCAGCAGGCACTAGGCTGGCTATTAGAAACTACAGGCTCCTTTCTTTAAGCGATCCAGGTATAGGTAAATAAAAACAATTTCAAAACCTGAAGCAATGGAAATTAAGTCCAAGGAAATGAGGGGTAGGGATCATTAACTTATCTCAGGAGAACTCAGTGAAGGTGTTAAGTGGAGGGTGACATCTGAACTGAGTCTGAAGAATGAGCACTTGCCAGGCAGGGAAGGGAGAATGATGGTACTGGTGGGGGTAGCTGTGGTGGTGGGTATACAGCACATGCGAAGGTGTGGAGGCTTGTAAGAGTATCCAGCTGGGGGAACTAGAGGTAGTTCTGAATGGCCAGTGGTGAAAGGTGGCCAAGAAAGGTGGGCAGGTACAAGGCTATGACAGGTCCTAGATGTGCTGCCAGGGAGCCTGGGCTCCATCCCAGAGGTGCTGAGAAGCCACTGAGAGATTAAGCAAGGGAGAACACTAGTTGGGTATATTTTAGAAGGCTTAATCTGGCAGCAGTATGAACGGACTGGAGGGACAGAGCTTGAGGGCAGAAAGGACAGTTAGGAGACTATGGCAACAGTGCAAGTGGGAAATGACAGAGGGTTCTGACTGTGACAGTGGTATGAAAAAGGCATATTTGACAGACCTGTGAAATCTTCAGTATCAGGTGTAGGGTATGCAAGATTTCAAAATCAGCAGGAAAAAGTTTTTTTGCATCAAGATGAAATTCAAACTAGGAAACTAGACAAATGTATCTGTTTTCACTGCAGCTGGACTTTAGCATCATACTTTACAAGTTTGAATACACAAAGGTTATGACTAGGGCAGATAATCATGTGAGCAGAAATTAGGAAACCGAAAGACAATATCCTTACGGTTTAGTCACTCAGGAAAAGGCCTCTTGAAATGAATGACGGTCATAACACAGGGCACCTTCAGTTACCATTCAGCATACATTCAAGCTATTTCACAAATAACACAGAATTGTTTGAAATACTAAAGGTAAAGGACCCTAGTTTAGCCAAGTCTCTTTTTTTCCTGCCTAAGCAAATTCAACAAACAAAAGATTTTAAAAGTAAAATCCTTCAGGTAGGCAGTGTAAGGCACGTTTAAAAGGGGCAGTAATTGCATATTGATCACCATTTAGGCAAGCTGCATGGAGGTGAACTTTGGAGTATTCACTGGGCTTAAGTTCAAGCTTTCAGCAATCAATAGCTGTTTGGGCTGACATTCGTGGGTTGACTTTATTTGAAATATTTATTCTACTGGAGGACAAGTAGTTTATCTTAGTCTTGTCTGGGTTCATCAAGTTGTCGATCATGCCAGGACCAATGTGAACCCTAGCTTGTATAAAACTGGGTGGTTGTGGGAAATGACTGAGAGTCATTTACTGCTCCCTATTCTGCTAAACT